CCACTTCATATACTTTATCGAAGTTTGAATATTGTCACTCCGCAAGCGTTTTTGCCAAATTTTCGACGCGCACTACGCGCAAAAGCATTTAGTTGTTATCAATTGGCACCCGCGCGTTCATCATAAATTTCAAACAGCTATAACTCAGCGAGATTATGTCTGTTCTAGCTCATATTTTCACACCAAATAGAAAACAATGTGATCTTATTGCTGACAAAATATGAATATAATTACTCTATTTGCCTTAGAGTAATAGACTGTCAAAGTTTAAAACGCGCATTGGTATAGCACGTGACTAATAAGGCAAAATTTATACTTCTTAACATATTATCGATCCTTAGACATCATACTATTGTGTCCGATTAGCGGTTAGGTCTCTAAACTCGTAGCAGAAAACACGTCTTTTTGCCCGTAAGAGCCTCTACTATGACCAGTGACGCGCTTGTTTAACAAGCAGTCGCGCGCTACTGCAAGCGAGAGGGTTCTGGATGGAGCAATTGTGGATATGCCGTGCACAGGTTTGAGGTTAAGGTCACATGAAAATACACAATTCTGTTTGGGCAAAATCATCAAGAATTTTTGCCTGCGGCAAAAATATTTTTAATTCCTGTCTGTGCGAAAGATTAAGTTGTATGCACTCTATATTTCTCAGGATATGGTTGCCTCCACTCTGCAAGGCACATATAATAATTTGTGATAACTACGAAAGCTGGTACAAGCTGGCCATGTTTTATTTGTGGGTTGTAGCGCGATGCACTACTGGGTCGCGCCGCGCATCAAATAATTCTTCTCGGCAGATCGGAGAGATGCATCACTGATCACTGTGCCTCACCGAGCTGCGAAGGATTGACATCGTGGATCAAACTTGTGGGTTGTAGGAGAAATCCGTTTTGTAGGGGGGGGGGGGATCATGTTATTTTTTGTCCGTTTTTGTCCGTTAATTTTTGTCCGTTTTGAAAATATAGCTGCCAAACGGACAAAAACGGACAAAAACGGACAAAAATTGTAACTTTTGATTTAAATTTTCTCCACAATTTGTAACAGGCTATCTGCAGAAATGGGTAGCCCGGTTAATGACCATGGTCCTTTCTCAAACTTTTAATCTTCAATTAGGCACAAAGAATAGTCTACACATTTTTTAATAACATAAAAAGGGATGAAAAGTTTTATTACTGGAGAGTAAAACTTTGTTAAATACAAAGATTCTTGAGCACATTTTGAGTCAGACTCAAATGCGCTTAAAAACATTTTAGTATATAACAATAAATTATGTTAACAATAACACCAACAATAATTATAAATTGAACAAATTATTGAGAGATGAAAGAGAGGAAAAGGAGGAGGGGGGACTGAGGAGGGGGACTGAGGAGGGAGAGGAGGGGGGCTGAGGAGGAGTGAGACTGAGAAGGAGAACTGAGGAGGAATGAATAGGAGGAGGAGAAGAAGGACTCAAGAGGAGGAGGACCCAAGAGGAGGAGGACCCAGAAAAAGGCCCCATGAGGAGGACTGGGGAGGAGGAGGACTGATGAGGACTGATAAAGAGGACTAAGGACGAGGAGGAGGAGGAGGAGGAGGAGAAGGACTGAGGAGTGAGGAGGAGGACTGATGAGGAGAAGGAGGTGTATGAGGAGGATGAGGAGGAGAAAGGAGATAAAGGATGAGGATAAGGAGGACTGAGGAGGAGGACTGGTGAAGAAGACTGATGAGGAGGAGGACTGAGAAGGGGAGGACTTAGGAGGACTGAGGAGGGGAGGACTTAGGAGGAAGAGGAGGATTGAGCAGGAGGAGGACTGAGGAGTAGAAGGAGGAAGAAGACTGAGGAGGATCAGGAGGACCCAGGAAGAGGAGGAAGAGGAGGAGGACTGAGGAGGAGAAGGAGGACCCAAGAGGAGGAACCAGGAAGAAGAGGAGGAGGAGGACTGAGAAGGAGGAGTGAGACTGAGAAGGAGAACTGAGGAGGAGGAATGAATAGGAGGAGGAGGAGAAGAAGGACTCAAGAGGAGGACTGAGGAGGAGGAGGACTAAGGAGAAGGATGAGGAGGAGGACCCAAGAGGAGGAGGACCCAAGAGGAGGAGGACCCAGGAAAAGGCCCCAAAAGGCGGACTGGGGAGGAGGAGGACTGATGAGGACTGATGAGGACTGATAAAGAGGACTAAGGACGAGGAGGAGGAGGAGAAGGAGTGAGCAGTGAGGAGGAGGACTGATGAGGAGGAGGTGTATGAGGAGGATGAGGAGGAGAAAGGAGATGAAGGAAGGAGATGAAGGATGAGGATAAGGAGGACTAAGGAGGAGGACTGGTGAAGAGGACTGATGAGGAGGAGGACTGAGAATGGGAGGACTTAGGAGGACTGAGGAGGGGAGGACTTAGGAGGAAGAGGAGGATTGAGGAGGAGGAGGACTGAGGAGTAGAAGGAGAAAGAAGACTGAGGAGGATCAGGAGGACCCAGGAGGAGGAGGAAGAGGAGGAGGACTGAGGAGGAGAAGGAGGACCCAGGAGGAGGAACCAGGAAGAAGAGGAGGAGGAGGACTGAGAAGGAGGACTGAGAAGGAGAAGGAGGACTGATGAGGAGGATGAGGATGAGGGTGACCGGGGAAAGGATTGAGGAGGAGGAAGACTGAGGAGGAGGAAGAGGAGAAGGACTGAGGAGGAGAAGGACTGAGGAGAAAGAAGAGGAGGAGGACTGAGGAGGAGGACCCAGGAGGATCAGGAGGAGGACACAGGAAAAGGCCCCAGGAGGAGGAGGATGACTTGGGAGGAGGAGGACTGATGAGGACTGATGAGGAGGAGAAGTAAGTGGATGAAGAGGATGAGGAGGACTGAGGAGGAGGACTGGTGAGCAGAAGGAGGAGGACCCAAGAGGAGAAGGAGGAGGAGGAGGATAACTGAGGAGGAGGAGAAGGACTGAGGAGGAGAAGAGGGATCCAGGAGGAGAACCCAGGAGGAGGAGGAGGAGGACTGAGAAGGAGGACTAAGGAGAAGGAGGACTGATGAGGAGGATGAGGAGGAGGGTGACTGGGGGAGGACTGAGGAGGAGGGTGACTGGGGGAGGACTGAGGAATATGAGGAAGACTGAGGAGGAGGAGGAAGAGGAGAAGGACTGAGGAGGAGAAGGACTGAGGAGGATGACTGAGGAGGAGGAGGACTGAGGAGGAGGAGGACTGAGAAGGAGGAGGACTGAGGAGGAGGACTGAGGAGGAGGAGGAGGAGGAGGAGGAGGAGGAGTGAATAGGAGGAGGGGGACTGGGCAGGACTGAGGAGGAGGACTGAGGAAAAGGATGAGGAGGAGGACTGAGAAGGAGGACTGAGCTGAGGAGGAGAACTGAGGACTGAGGAGGAAGAGGAGGATGAAGAGGAGGTGGACCCAAGAGGAGGAGGTCCCAGGAGGAGGACTCAGGAGGAGGAGGAGGATGACTGAGGAAGACTGAGGAGGAGGAGGAAGCATCTAAATATTATTTCCATTTTTGTTATTTTTTGTCCGTTTTTGTCCGTTTTTGTCCGCTCTATTTTTTGTCCGTTTTGATAATATAGGGTTCCGAACGGAAAAAACGGATAAAAAACAGGATCCCCCTGGAGGAGGAGGAGGAGAAGGATGACTGAGGAGGAGGACTGAGGAGGACTGAGAAGGAGGAGGACTGAGGAGTACTGAGGAGGATCGCTGAAGAGGATGACTGAGGAGGATGGCTGAGGAGGATGGCTGAGGAGGATGACTGAGGAGGATGACTGAGAGGGAGGAGGAGGAGGACTGAGAAGGAGGAGGAGAAAGAGGACCCAGGAGGAGGACTCAGGAGAAAGAGGAGGAGGAGGACTCAGAAGGAGGAATGAGGAGGACTCAGAAGGAGGAATGAGAAGGAGGAGAACTGAGGAGGAGGAGGAGGAGGACTGAATAGGAGGAGGAGGGGGACGACTGAGGAGGAGGAGTACTGACGAAAAGGATGAGAAGGAGGACTGAGGAGAAGGACTGAGGACTGAGGAGGAAGAGGAGGAGGATGAAGAGGAGGAGGAGGACCCAGGAGGAGGAGGACTGAGGAGGATGATGAGGACTGCAGAGGAGGAGGACTGAGGAGGACTGAGGAGGACTGAGGAGGATGGCTGAGGAGGATGGCTGAGGAGGAGGAGGAGGAGAAGGTGGAATAGGAGGAGGAGGAGGAGGAGGAGGAGGAGGAGGAGGAGGAGGAGGAGGAGGAGGAGGAGGAGGAGGAGGAGGAAGCATCTAAATGTTATTTCAATTTTTGTTATTTTTTGTCCGTTTTTGTCCGCTTTATTTTTTGTCCGTTTTGAAAATATAGCTGCCAAACGGACAAAAAAACATGAGCCCCCCCCCCCCCCCCCCCCCCTTTTGTAGTACACTATTTTGAGGGACTTCAGATATTTTGTTATTGTAGATTTTAATGTGGCCAAGCAAAAACGCAAAACTTTTTTTGGGCCTCGCTCCAAATGCTTAAAACTGTCTTGCTTCACTTGCAGACATTGCAAAAGTGGAAAATTCGCGAGCGAAGCGAGCGGGCCACAGAAAATTTGTATCTGCGAGGAAATTTGTAACTTTCTGGATGTGGGGGCATTAAACAATTTTACCGAAATCAATAATTTGAACATTAAAAGTATAACAGCCCAGTTCCAAGGCTCAGTTTTGCGACCAGATTTGACACAAAACTCCGCGAAAAGAATTTTGAAAGGCAAAACTCCGCGAAGGCAGTTTTGATTACAATGTACGTTTCCACGGTTGGTATTTGCACGCAGATTTGCGCGCGCACGTGGGCGCATTATAATGAAATTTCCCACGCGAGCGCCCAGGTTAAAACTGCTTTCACGGAGTTTTGGGTCATATCAAAAATATTTCTCCGTGCGGAGAAATATTTTAGAATTTCATTTCCGGTCGCAAAAATGTGAGCAAATCTGGTTGCAAAACTGAGCCGTGGAAATGCAGGGTAAGACTGCAAATCTTTAGTTTTATAAGTATAAAAAGCAGAAAAACAAGCCACATCAGGTCTCAAAATATAGATGTATATTGACATTTTTACTCAAAGTCTCAATCATCAGAAACAGTAAGATCTTTAATCTGCCTGCACGTGAGGTGGGGGAACGTTTTTTACTCTTCTTTGCAGGAAGAGGTAACCTGTTTTTATAGTCCCTCTGATCAAGACTTCTTTTTTGTTACGCCACTGCTTGTTGCATTTCCTGCTACCACTGGTTGTGTGTTCCGGCCCTGTTCTTGGACAGCCAGGACAGTTTTTTCTTTGCTCCTGATAAAACATTTATTAAAAATAAAATAAGAAGTGTTCTCTTGGGTTAATTTCCATTGATCCGGATTGGTGCGACAAGGAAAGGCTTTTTATCAGGAAAGGAATTATTCAACGTTTCAATGTGACAACATATCGTAATCAAACAGGATCAATAGAAATTTACCCAAGAGACCATTTTAACTATGCGACTCATAAATAATAGTCCAATTCTTTAATAAGGAGCTAAATAAAGTAGTGTTTAAACCAAATTAATCGAGGAGTACACCCGTCTTATTATATGCTATAGATTGAGTTATACTTATACAATATCAATATATATAATTACATCTTTACATGTATGCAGAATTTGATGTATGCAGAATTACATGTATGCAGAATTTGATATGTATGAATTATGATCCCACCTATAATTTGTGAACAGAAATTATTGCGTTTTTAGATACAGTAAAACCCCGATTTACCGCGGAGTTTGGGGAAAAGGAAACATCCGCGGTAAATCAGGGTTCGCGGTAAATCAGGGTTTTGTTTGTTTACATTATGCATGTTAAGCCCTATTGGGGTTTGCGGTAAATAGGGGCGCGGTAAATCGGGGTTTTACTGTATATTGATTGACTTCATTTCTCAATTGAAACTTACCAAGTTACAATACTCTCGCCTCGAATTCTTTGATTTTGTTGAACAGCTCTTCTTGGTATTCGGGATGCACACTGCAAACATAAAACATGACTTATAAATTGTGTACGGTTCCATTGCTACCATAAAACTACCACAACAATGAGTTCCAAAGTAACCCAGTAAAATTACTAAATTTGATTTAGTTGCCATGACAACGTACCAATTTAGTCAAGAACTATTGATTACGGGAGCTAGCATATATATCTATCAAGTAAAAATAGGATAGTTAGTTAATATGAATATATTTTACCTCTATTCCTCGGTAAATGACCCCCAATTCACACCATTCAGTCTCATCACAGCAAATAAGTGCTTACATGGCAAGTTATAATGAACAAAACACAGACAGTCACAGGAAACACGACTTTTACAAAAAACCTGAAAATGGGGTAATTCATTATTTACATGCAATGGGGCACTCTTTATGGAAACGACAATTAAGAACGGAAAATATTAATACGACAAAATGAAGTATTAATTCTAATCCGTAAATGAACTAACCTACTATACCTGCATATAATATTGATATAACTGGCATTGTTTTAAAACAGGTACGGCATAACTATACATTTATTTGACAAAGAATTGTCAAATAAACGTACAGTTATATAGCAAAGCAAATATAATACTACAAATTATACCCGGTACTGGTGGGTCTTCTCTCCAGACCTGACAGAAAATCCCTCTTCGCCATTGAATGATATCGGTCTGACGTATTCCGTCTTGAAATCGAGACTAGTCGCGTAAAACTCCTGACAAAAATAAATTAATATATAAATTCAAGGTATAACTTTTTCGAACTTCATAAGATAGAGGATGGATTCTTCAGCAAAGTTGTACAGGACAGTTAACGTTTTGAGGAAATATCCACTCCCAGTTTACTATGTACATATTAATATTCAAAATTAATTACTATACTGATAACATATAAACATAAACCTGTTTCAGATAATGTGAAATAGATTATGACTAGGAAGCTCATTTAATCAGTTTTTCTATGGTGCTGCAATGTAAATATTTGAACTTAAATTAACCAAGTCCACTCTCTAACACTCCTACATTTTGACCACTCTATTATAAATAATTATATTGTTCTGATCCATCATCTCAATTTGAAGACGATTAGCAAATATTTAATAAAAATTCAATTATCGAAGCATTTATATTTTATAGAATTTAGTTCAGAAGAAGTCATCTATCCAAATAAATAGTATTTCATTAGGTAGTCATCAAAGCTCGAGTGTAGGGATTGTCACCTTTAAAAGTAGTGTTGACTGTAATTGAAGCAGTCAGCTATCAAATGAGAGGGATATATAGGTAAAAGTTTGACCAGCTAATAACCGGCTAATCAAAGCAGTTTGTCATTTATCAAAAATGTGTTGCTAAACAAACCTGATTTAGTCTATCTCCGTCTCTTCACTCTCTCCTCTTTTAGAGCTGTACTTCAAGCGTGTTCACACGCTCTTTTAGCTCAGAAATCGCTGCTACCTGCTCCTGAGTGGCTTTCTTGACAGCATCGGCGACCGTTTCAGAGATTGTTCTCTCCAGACTGAAGTATGTGAGAAGGTCTCTCCCTGGCTGTAATAAATTACGTCTTCGTGAAGAATCCGCCGAGGACCTGATAAAACAAAAAATAATAAATGGTGTTTTTACCGATGATATAAATCTAAGAGTGGTCTCTGTTAATATTGAATAATATGTATTCATCCACCGTTTTATTATATCAAAGTAATTTTCCAACTCTGTAGTAAGTACAACAGACTGTTCCGAAGGTTCGGATGACTTGATAATTTAATGATTATCAGCATATCCAAAGATGCTAAATCCGAGTTACTTTACGCATCATATATCCATAAATGGACATGACACTTTTTGACATTTAAAATATAATTTGTATTACAGATTTATGTTGTTCAAATTTCAAACATAAAACCTCAAAAGTAGAGAATGTGAAGCATTATGTTTTAATCAAAGTATGTGGTTTGTTTTGATTAGTGATAATGATTTGAGTACCAGCCGGTAAAACTGTCAGACGATCCGCTTACTGAGAAGTATGCGAGCAAAATCGCACAAAAATGCAAACAAAGAGGTGCGCGGTGAGTTGGCCAGTGTCTGCGAACTGGTGTTACCCGGTAGACGTCTTACATGTACCATGGTAGCATGGTGGACTGTGGAAGAAAAGCGTCTCTCGGCTGATGATAAAATCTGAATAGGTACACAGAACAGTACAGGGAGAAGAGAAGAAAACTGACGAGGTACACTGAAGAGACAGACTAAACGAAAAGCGGGAAAGAAGGATTCAGCTAGGTTCTGGCTTAAGTCAAGAAGTAATGGAAACCCCACATGCACAGTCAAAATCATCAGTTGCCGCCTATCCCGTACGCAGGCAGTGTCCGATGGAGCAGTGCAGAGCTGATTACGACCAGGTTCCTTACGGATACCCCGCCTCGGAGGTCGAGCCAATGCCCTGCTTTCGATGCTTATGTCTACTGATGGTACCTTCATATTTCTCTTGTATAAGAAGCTATATATTTTATATTTATATCAAATATAGCCTTGAATTAGATCAATGGAGAAGCCCGAACGTTTGGACAACTAAGAAACTAGGCACTTATATCATGAATTTTGACAAGGTAAAATGAATAATAGTCAATATTATACCTTGGGCTGTAGGGGCTATAGGGGCTGAGCCTGGATCTTTCTCTCAGCTCTACCCTTGGTGATCTGAAATACGTAAATTAAATTAAAGTTAAGACTACAGCCTAGCTACAGAGCTATCAGCTACAGGTAATTATGATAATTTCACGTGAACTGATAGTGGGACCTCTGTTAAGAAAAAATCAATTTGATGGTAGCACAAGGTATAATGGAAGTACAAACATCTTTTTGAGTGTAGTATACTTTCTTTGAGTATAGTATACTTTCTTAACAAGCATTTCGGCGCGCTAACAACATGCACGATCAAATTCCATAATTTACTACTACTGATAAGTAACGCCATCAGGAATAATGATGCTTGCGCCATTTCAACACAATTTATGACGAAATTACTATTGATTCACCTTCTTGGTGATGATACGGGCACCGATATCTGCACCACCGGGACGGTATCTGTATCAGGCCCAGGCACCTCTATCAGTTTGGCAAGAGTAGGGGCAGGAGCAGGAGCAGGGGCAGGAGCAGGAGCATGGGCAGGAGCAGGGGCAGGAGCAGGAGCAGGGGCAGGAGCAGGGGCAGGAGCAGGAGCAGGGGCAGGAGCAGGAGCAGGAGCAGGGGCAGGGGCAGGAGCAGGGGCAGGGGCAGGAGCAGGAGCAGGGGCAGGAGCAAGGGCAGGAGCAGGGGCAGGAGCAGGGCTGAAATACATAATTTTGTAAGCAAAATGCTGAAATATTGGCAACCAGTTAACAGTTTCATACACTGTTCAAAATCATATTTCTTTAAACACCAATGAAACTAATAAAATGAGAGAAATTGTTCGAAGTACAAGAAAAGGAGCAGTTATCTCACATCAATTTTGGAATGGTTTATTTTCAGAAAGGGAGTTTGCAATTAAGTTTAGATGAGGGATATTGGATCACTTAAAAATAAACGTCTGATTTGATAAGGCTTTGAGCGCACTATAATGTGAAATGAGCCTATCCTTACCTTCTAGTTATTTATAAAATATCATTCATATCAGATTCGTTTACAGTCTAAGACCTAGCAATCAAACCTTTTGTGTGATGGTCCAGGTTGGTCTGCTGTTACACCCGGTCCGTAAAGACACCTAGTGAAAGAAGTGTTTTTTTTTCTTTAACTGTATATTATTTGTACAATTAGGATGACCGTCCTCAGCTCTAGACGTCAATAATTCATAAGTTTGCAATAATTTTACACCACGTCTTAACTTTCCATATTTGCATACTCAAATTTGTTGTTTAACAGCTATGTTTAAAGGATAAGTTTCAATAAATAATTTATAGGCCTTCAAAACATCTGACTCGCCAAAATAGTTTATTAACTTGATATCTCTGATGTAATTTGCGAAAATTAGTGTTAAAATTGACATCAATCAATCCAGTCAATTTCAAAATTTACCAATCAGAAACTTTTTACATTTCTCACCTTTGGACATCGTTCATCGTGGAAAATGACCTTTTCCCATTCTTTTTCGAAACCTTGGATGGCTTCCTGTTCAGGTTCCCCCTATTGTTTTTTTGGTTAACGTGGGTTTTCTAAACCAGTAAATCTGGGATTTACTTTCGTTCAATTAATCTTGGGTTTATTGATGTATAATGTATATATGTAATATATAAATGTATGTGAATTGTATTTAAAATTATATGCTAACTTCTTTGTCATCTGATTTGTTTCTAGACAAGATAATCTTTCTTCTTCCTTTTTCTTGTCGCAACAGGGTGATCCAAAAAGCTCACAGTTGCCCATTTTGGTTGTCCTACGTCTCCAGGACGTGTGGGGGCTCTAGATTTTCTTTTGGATCGATTCAGTCTAGGAGATGCAAGAGATGGATTAGAATCGATTGGTGAATGGTGATGGTCATAAACTTCACAAACGCTGTCAAAATTGCCGATTTGTCAATGCAGAACCTTTCAAAATATACTTCAAAATTTGCTTTAAAATTTGTATTCTCTTATCAATTGAGACTGCAGATTTTAGCTTGCCTCACCTAAAATGAAGCTATTGCTGGGAGGAAAGATTCGATGAGAACGTACTATTTTCAACCTGGGGGATCAAAGCTATAAGGTATTTTGCTGAAGGGAGAACAGGTGAAAGCCGGGAAATTATTCTGTGGGCAGACAATTGTTCTGCTGAGAACAAATGCTAGACGCTTTACACTGCGTTATGTTTGCTCATAAACAGCCCTGACCTCGGGCTTGGAACGATAACAGTGAAATATCTGGAGACAGGCCATACGTTCATGAGCATTAACTCGTTCCTCCATAAAGTGGAACTGTCCATCAAACAGTGCGGACAGCTACATAGTTATGAGGACTTTGTTGGTGCAGTGGAAAAGGTGGGTACTGCTGTTTCTATGGCCTGTTTGGACTTTCATTCTTGGCCTAGGTCATATGGGACAAGCAACTGCTGCAAAACAGAAAGACCACTGCTCGAGAAGGTGAATGTCATCAGGTTTCAGCGTGGCTCGGTCGAAATGGAGTGGAAATCAGAGCAAAACGAAGTTTCCTTCCGTTCTGCTCCATTTCTGCGGCAGAAAGAAGAGAGATTGATCCGGTTAGGTATAATCATAGCTTGTCCGGTTAGCTATACCAAATCGAATATACGTGCGCATCCATGCGTCAGATGGACAGGAAAACAGCTTCAAGGCAATTGTCTCGAGAAGAACATGAGTTCGGCATGCTTATTTTCCAACATTATTTAACTCTATACAAATTCATGTTGTTTCAAATGCATTCAATTTGTGTAGCTATCCCTTTATTCTAGAGTGCAAGTGAAGATGCTATATTTTACTCATGTCAAATAATAACCACATTTTCTTCTTAGACAAAAAAATGGAATCCGTTATGTGAAGAATAAAGACAGCAGAAAATACCGACCCGATATTAGATATGTAAGGTACGAGGATGGTAAAAAATACCCTTGTATCATAACAAAATAAAGATGTTACAGATAAGCATCAGAAAAGGAAACACATCATCAGATGATGAAGTGAACGGAAAACTTGCCGCTTTGTCGGCTATGGGACATAGGTGCGTCCTGTTTATTTCATCAAAATGAACTCTTTTTGGTTTTTCGCCCAATTATTTTTGAGCTGACCTTTATTTCTTATTATGTAGACTTAGTCATCTTTCGACCAAACTTTTTTACCTGACCTTTATTACTTATCATATATATTCATTTATTTGCAGTGTACGGGACCGTGGGTCGGATTCTTCTTCAGAAGAATCTTTGTCCACAAAAATCGGTGTGTTCAGTTTATTTTTCGAAATATACGTTTTAAAGAATTTGACATGTATTCAGAATAGGACCCGATGCTATTTTTTGATTAAATTAATATCCATGTCCTTTTAGAGCCAGCTGCAGAACCCATCAAGGATACGAGAATGGGAAGAGGTATCCTTGTATAATCACTAAATCCGGTACGGATTTAATACTTACTTACTACTACTTACTTGCTAAGTACTAACTTACTACTTAGTGACATGTAGTGTCAGGAAGCTGAAGACAAGCACCTACTCTAACTAATGATAAAATTCTTATTGATATATTATGTTGTAAATATTAATGTTAAATATTATTCTATTTGGTTTTCAAAAAGAATTTTGTTGATCCAGGTGATTGCAAAATGCAAATATAATTTTAACTAGGAATCTACTTATTTCATCAGTATACAATATATTGCATACAATATATACCATTCCACATTTGCAGAACTTTAAAAAATTTTGTATTAGTACTTCAGCTTAGTGAATTCGGAACAATTTCGTTGTGCTTGAACAAAATTAGTTGTTAGTTACATTGAACAGTCTAGAATGTCTTTCATGAAGAGAATCACGAAAGAGTTAATGGAAAAAGTCGAGGCTAATAAACCCCTCGAGACAACGAGGTGAGTAAAGTTTAACATAAACTCTTGA